AAATTTGGCGAAAATGTGGGAGAAAGGCAGAAGTTGACCGCTAAAATTTTTGGGAAGAAGAGAAGGAAAAAGGACTTCACCGGTTGCCGTAGCATATTTTTTGTTATCTTAGATCTGAAACGGTTTTTAACTTTATGGTGGCGGTGCCCGTTCCCAGGGCTCGATCTCCGGATCTCGCCCTTACCCGTGTACATTATCAGTTGGCAGTTGCCCTGTGTCACTGTGTGTGTTTGAACCCGCGACCTGCATCCTGGTTGTCGCCTGTTGTCTGTCGTAGGTTAGTGTGGTCGTCGGGTCTCGAACGGTAGACCTGTTGGTTAGGAGTCTTTGTAGGGGTAGAAGTAGCTGCTACAGTGTTGAAAGGTCAAGTCGTGAAGTCGTGGCTGGTACTGGCTGCTACAACACCGAAGGGTGGAGTCTACAGACTTCCGGAAGGTCCGGAAGTGACCCTTCGTTTGGTCCCGCACTATGTTATGCAGATTCTGCAGAAAGGTAGACTGAAGTCAGTGGGCAACTTTTGCGGCAGGCTCACGTCGACATCGAAATTCCAGACCGAATTTTAAATAAAGTTTTTAAGTAAACATCAATTTTTTAGATTTTTTTTGGCCGGGCCGGGCAAGTTGTGGAAACACCCTGGTAACCCCAGATTACATGGACATAATTGTCAAATTGGACATTAGGAGGATATTTGGGTGCCCTAGTATAACCAAAAAGCGGTGCTAATTATGTTGATGTACGCCTGTTGGAAGTTGTGAATTTTGTAAGTTTTTGTGATCGGAGTGAGTACCAGTTCTTTCAGCGTCTTCCGTCCGGCATCTGAGTTCTGCTTCCAACCGGTTACAGTTAACTTAAGGAGGCCTTGGTAGCTTTGTAGGTACTAGGTTGTGCTTGTTAAATAGCGTTGTTTGTCTATTTCGTGCTCAGCCTGGAAACTTCAGAGATTTTGCAAAACCAGCTTTTCCTTCTGAACCCGGTATATTCCCATTCTGCCAGTCTGCGCCAGAATAGTTTGTTTTATCACTGCATGGTATATATATATATATTCTGCCTACGGTTTACCGGGCAGTTCTATTTGACGATATATATATATATACAGCCCCTCGTTTGTTGTCCTCTTCTCTCTCTCTGCCTACGGTTTACCGGGCAGTTCTATTTGTGACGATATATATATATATATATATATATAGATATGAGTCGGTGAAACTCTGACGAAACAGTTTGTCACAGCCCCTCGTTTGTTGTCCTCTTCTTCCTTTCTCCCTCTCTGCCTACGGTATACCGGGCAGCTATATATGGATCTGTTTTGTTGCCCCCTGTTCTGTCTTATTTGGCTGTTCCCTTCCTCATTTCTTTGCCTCTTTGCCTTTTGGCTGTGTGCAAGTGGGTCGATATGACACACGGGGGTGGGGGCAGCCGCCGCTCAACCTGCATCCACGTGGGCGGCCTTGTACGCAAGAGGTTCTGAACAGCGGAAGGAAGAAGATTAAATCATGAAATTATTTTTTCCTGTTTTCCTTCTTTGTTTTTCGTTTTTTTCGCTTTTGCGCTCTGATATGCTTGTGAAGATATATCGTCAAACAGAGCTGCCTGGTAAACCATAGCCAGAGAGGGAGAAGAGGGCAACACACGAGGGCCTGTCACAAACTGTTTCTTCGGAGTTTCTATATATATATGGGTTCATCCTCCTGATGAATCGGTGAAACTCCGACGAAACAGTTTGTCACAGCCCGTCATTTGTTGTGCTTTTGCTCCCTCTCTGCCTACGGTTTACCTCGCAGCTCTATTTGACGAGATATATATATATCACGGTTTACCGGGCAGTTCTGTTTGTGACGATATATATATATTTGTGACGATATATATATATATATATATCGTCAAATAGAATATATATATAACCTCTTACGTACAAGGCCAGCCACGTGGATGACAGGTTGAGCGCTGGCTGCCCCCATCCCCGTGTGTCACAAGGACCCACTTGCACGCAGCCAAAAGGCAAAGAGGTAAAGAAAGGGAGGAGGAAACCAAACCT